AGTTTTCCCTTGCACAAGCCCTTCTGATTCCTTTGTAGGACCAAGCTACCCACCTGGAACTCACGCTTGATGACCTTGTTGTCATGCCGCAAGGTTATCCTTTGTTTCAGCGAGGCTTCTCGTAAGGATGCCCCCGATCTGATTTCTTCGACTAGGTCGAGTTCCTCCCTTAAGACCTCGTCATTTGCCTCCTCGTGGAGGGGGGACTCGGTTCTCCTGGAAGGTTCTCTTATTTCAACCGGATTATTGCCTCAGTTTCATAGTTCAGTCAAAATGGGGTCTCCTCAGTTGTTACATGTGGGGTAGTCTTGTAGGCCTAGAGTACATTGTGTAGCTCTTAACCCACCTCCTCTTGGAGTCTCCCAGCCTTCGCTTCAGGCCACACAGAATCACTTTGTTTGCGGCTTTGTCCTGGTCATTCGTCTGCGGGTGTTCGGCCGAGGTGAAGTATTGTTTCATGCTTAGCCTGGTGATGAAGTCTTGAAAATTCTTGTTGGTGAACTGAGTCCGGTTGTCGGTGACAATGGCTTGGAGTATGCCGAACCAAGCCAGTATATTCCTCTTGTAAAAATAGAGTATGTTTTGGGTCGTGATTTTGGCTAAGGCTTCAGCCTCTATCCACTTAGTGAAGTATTCGAAGTCGACTATCAAATATTTATTTTGGTATGAACCTATGGTGAAGGGCCCGAGGATGTCCATCCCCACCAGGAAAATGGCCACGACAAGGAGAGTGTTTTGAGCTAATTGGCAAGGCCAGGTGCATGTTCCCGTGTCATTGGTATTTGTCGCAATTCTTGACGTGCTCTTTCACGTCTTGCTGCATGGTGGGCCAATAATATCCTGCTCGTAGGGCCTTGCGAGCAAGTGATCTTCCACTGAGGTGTTGCACATTAATTCCTTCATGGATCTCTTGGAGTATGCCCGGTACCTTAGATTCATCAACGCATTTAAGGAGAGGAATGGAGAATCCCCATCGGTACAGTTTGTCCTCGATCAATACGTACGAGCAGGCTCGATGCCTGACTACACTTGCCTTTTTGACATCGTCGGGAAGTCGCCCTGTGCTGAGGTAGGTGTAAACAGGGGTCATCCAGCAGTTACTATTGCCGATAGTGTTTACCTCAATAGTCGTTGTGTACTTCTCGGTGCTGGGCCGAGAGAGGACCTCCTGGATTACGAATTTGTTTTTGCCCTTTCTCTTCGTGCTTGCCAGCTTCGACAAGATGTCTACTCGGGTGTTGTGTTCGCGTGGAACATGGCGTACCTCCACGGAATCGAAGCTTTTCATTTTTCCTTTTACCAAGGAGAGGTACTCGTCGAGGTTGTCGTTCTTGGCTTGGTACTTTCCCCGTACCTGGGAGGCCACGAGCTGGGAGTCGGTGAAGATCTTTACCTCCTTCACGCCAAGGTCTTTGGCGGAGTCCTGCAAAGAACGCCTCGTACTCGGCTTGGTTGTTCAATGTTGGGAATTCCAAGGCGAAAGAGACTTTTATCAGGATGCCCTCTTTGTTTTCCAATATGATGCCTGCTCCACTCCCCATCAAGCTAGAGGCGCCGTTGACGGAGATGATCCATTTGTGTGCCCCGAGTGTCGGAGACTCAGTGGAGGTCATCTCCGCGAAAAAGTCGGCCTGGCCTTGAGCCTTTAGGGATTTCCTGCTCTTGTATTAGACGTCTAATTTGGAGAGTTCGAGCGACCATTTGAGCATCCTTCCCAACATGTCCGGCCGCCCGAGCAGCTGTTTGACGGGCTATTCGATTCTGACCAAGATCGTGTGGAACATGAAGTAATACCGTAACCTCCTGGCTGCGTTGATGAGGGCCATAACGGCCTTGTCGATCTGCTGTTATCTGAGCTCGGGGCCTTGAAGGGTTTTGCTCGTGTAGTATATCGGCTTCTTCCCTTCGGGGGTCTCGCGGATCAACGATGCGCTGACGGCTTCTGTGACGACTATAACGCCCCAATTTTTAGTAATAATTTATTTTTATTATATTAATTAACTAATTGTGTGATTTTGTGTCTAATTAATTTAATTTAGCTTATTTGATTTATTTGAAATAATTAAATTAATTGAATTAATTGATTTATTTGATTTAATTTTATTATTTATTTTATTTTATTTGGTGGAATAAAATAGAATTGGTAGAATAATTAGTTAGGCCTATTAGAGAGTGTGAATAGTAAGTGAGAGAGTGGGTTAGTGAGCCCAATAGAAATTAGAGTTGTTATGAAATAGTTAGGGTTTAACAAAACAAGAGAAATGGATAGAATAGAGATAGAAAGGAGGCTAAGGAGAGAAAGAGGAGAAGAGAAGAGGAACCAAGAAAAAGAGCTAGAATCCATCAAAAATCAAGATAAGATTGGGTTTTTATATGATTATTGGGATTGTATGATAGTGAATAATGGGTAGAAACATGTTTAGGATGACCCCTGAATTTTTATGATTTTGTGATTGTTAGATTTTAATGATAATACTTGATAAGTGATTATTAATTATGGTTGGAATTGGTATAAAAAGGTGATATTCCATAAACTAGTTGTTGTAACGAATACCAATTGAATGTAAAATGTAATGTGTGAATTTCTTTAATATTAATACTTCATCAATTATTACCTTATATCCAACAAAAATATGGTAATGTCTTGGAATTTGGAACAGTGCATACTAATTGAAGCTAAAGGTCAAAACGTGATGTGTATATATTTTCAGAACTATAGCACTATGTTTAATCGGTACAACGTATTTTATGAATTGAGGTTGAATCGTGTCGATACCTTGTGTATTACTTGGTTATTGTGATGATAATACAGTTGAGATTGTATTGTATAATATGGTGTATACCATTTGAAAGTGAAATGTGTCTGGATGATGCATAATATGTGCAATTATGTGTAATGTATGGTAATTCAAGTGTGATGAATTAGTAAAGATATGCATGAACATTATGATTAGGGAATGATCTTAATCGCATATGGTTGTTGAATTTAGAAACGCATCATTTGTGTTAAGAGGCAATGCTTGTTAGTTTCGTGGGAGCTAGTGACTTGTCCCAAACCTAGAGTAGGGTTAGAAAGCTTAGGGAACGAGCTTTTTTGTATGTTATTGGTCTAGGGAACGGACCCAGTTTAACGTAAAAACCGAAAAATAATAACAAGTGTTTGGTACCACATGCATGAGTTGCATTTTAGTCTTGCATTGAGTCACATTGTGTATATGTTTGCGATATGAGATTATGTGAAATATGTGGAATATGTGAAATTGATGAATTGGTGAATATATGGAATTGCGAGTATGTATTGTGAATAATATGGCTACTTGAGTAATAATATGTTGATGAAGCTTTTTGAAGTGTGAGAATCATTATATTATGCTTGTATATTATATATTACATATTGTCTTATGATTTCGATAATTATGTGAGTTCTCACCCTTCTGATGGTATGATATTTTGTATAACATCGTTTAGGTACCAAGGAGTATAGTTGTTTCTAGCGCGAGGTAGCTGTTAGAGTAGCTTGTCTTAGTTTCTTTATTTCCTTTGGGTCGAGTCGTGCTCTGATCATGTAACATTAGGAACATTTCGATTCATATTTTGAGAGATACTTTATGTACTCTACCTTATTTTTCCATTGTTATTTGAATTATATGAGTTATTGACTTGTATGCCTAAGTGATGATTATGAATCAGTTGATCACGAGATTTTCAATTATGTTTATTTAATTGAAGTAATTCCGCTGTTACATGCTAAATGAAAGTATATGAAAAACATAAGTGTTATTGAGCATGACAGGAGTATGTGTGATGTTTTGAATTATATGTGACACCCTTGTTTGAGATGCATGATGAACTACTCTGATTATTTATATATTCCGTGGGGTTTAGAAGGGTGTTACAACAACAACGAGATATAGGTAGAGGGTTTCCCCGACCTCAGGCCTTCATAGTACGGGTGGTTCTAAGAGAACTTGTTTAAGGTGGAGGAGGGCCCACTCACACTCCTCGGTCCACTTGAATGCGGCCTCCTTGCGCAGGAGCTTGAAGAAGGGGAGGGCATGTTGGGCAGACTTAGCGACGAAACGTGATAGTGAGGCGAGCATCCAGTTTAGAGACTGGATGGACTTCTTCGTGTTCGGCATAGGGAACTTGGAGAAAGCCCTGCACTTGTCTGCGTTCGCCTCTATTCATCGTTCTAATACACTACAAGAAAAACAACGGATTGCGACGGTTATTTTGGCAGGTTACGACGGTTAAAACCGCCATCAATTACATTTTACGACGGTCATAGTACCGTCACAGAAACGTTTATCACCAGGCTGTTTAGTGACGGTTGCCAAAACCGCCACATCAACCGTCGTTATATTTCACGATGGGCTGAAACTGACCTAAATTGAAGATGGCGACGGTTAAAGACCGTCGTACTAGCCTTTTGATTTTTGTTTTATTTTGGCAGGTTACAACAGTTTGAACCGCCGCAATTTGCGTGACAGTTTTATGGATTTTCATTTTTATTTTTATTATTATTATTGATTATGACGGTAAATTATGGCATATTGAATCGTGTGAATATTTATTATAAAAAAATTTACCCTTAATTTTTTAGCATTATTATAAAAAGATAATAAAAAAACAAAATAAAAAATAAAAAAAATAAATTATGTAACTTTGTGTACAAATTAACATGATCTATATTTTTTTACAAGACATCTAACTTGACAGCACCAGGTCCATCCAAAAGTGCACAAGGATTTACTTTACAACAAGTGGACAAGAGGCTCGCCTAAACGCATATACTCTAGGCACTAATAAATCTAAAATGACGCAAAATATGGACATAAATTGCAGCATTTGAAAATTTACTGGGATGAAGAAGGTTGTCAATCCAGTTTCTGAGTCATAGTTGAAGTCCCATCCACCATGCACTTTATTGGACGTTGTGAGGAGTAAACTTTAAACTTTCCACTTCCTCTAACTTTCAAACTAATAGTCGTTGTGGTCGTTCAGTTAGGACCTAGAGAAATTATCAGTTCTGATGATACAACCTCTCTGTCAAATAGTTCTTGTTTTTTGTCAGTCTCTCTATGAATTTCGACCTCATCCAAAGCTCCTCCAGTGTTGAACATATCCATTAGGCCTACAGCTGCAAATGATATACCGCACATAATTTCTTGTCAAATGAAACATTACATCAGTCAGTTTAACAAAATCAAAGGCAGGAAAAAAATCCAAAAACCAATGAAATAATATTTGTATATGTTGATGGTGAAATCTTACTTGGGATTGGATAGAAATGGAAAAGTTCAAACTCCAGAACCTTCAGTGTCACTGGAATAGAAACACTTTTCGGTAGCCGAATCACCTCGCCTAAAAAATGGAGAGGAGTATTAAATGATGATTGTGACTTGTTTGAATTCATATGATAAATTAATTGTGAATAATTAATTGTAGCTGATCTGTATGCATAAACAATAGTCTCCCCATGCCATTCAGCACCAGCTACTTGAATGATGAGATCAACATCAGAGGCACAAACAGAGCTAGTAAGTGTGCCAAGATATATATCGTGAATGCAAGTTTTCTTCTCTACCTTGCACCACCCAGCACCTTGGCAGTTAAATACACCAACAACTCCGGTACATTTGTTCATGTTCTATATTTTGAGCAGACTGAAAATTACAACTCAAATTAATAAAAAAGTACTCAATTTATGTCTAAGAAACATATATTAGTTACTAGTTAGAGTTAAGTAAAAATAAACCTAGTCCTATATCTTGCCAGATCAACAAATAGAGAGTCACGTGTAGGCCTGCCAGGCAGCTGAGCACGGAGAACTGAATCGTCAGAAAGTACCAATTTCTTAAGAAGATCAAAATTATGGTTTCCTGTCTTATCACTGTAATATCATAATAAAGAAAAGAAAAACAATATCCGTTAAATCTATGCCCAATTCAAGTATTTGTAAAAGTAACAAGTTTGCAATGGGATAATAATATTGTTGTACCTAACATAAATTAGACATCCACTGATTGCACGAGCTGCAGCATGATACTCAGTTGTTGGATGTAAACTCTGAAATCACAAAGATATTTGTTAGAATGAAGAAAAATCAACACCTAAAAAAGAAGGTACTAACTGAATTATAGTTGAAGATCAATTCAGTTTCACTTACATGGAACATGTCCCAATCAGGTTGCATAAACTCTCTAAGGAAAAGTGAATTGTATGCAATAGAAGAAATATGGATTGTGTGGGAAGCATGATCACGTGGGTAAAAATCATCAGAGGCTCTCACAACAGCAGTTTGCTTAGCACTATAAAATCCATCAGTGTTATGACATATACACACTATGCATCCATTGTCGGAAAAGTTATGAGCAATGGAAGCCTCGAGTGCATGATGATAGTTGCGGGTAAGTGAGACTCGGCCACCATGTCCTGCGCCAAGGGTTTCAATAATGTTTTTCACGTCCACCTTCACTCCATCTACTCCACATGAAGCTAAATAAGCATGGAGCTCATCGTAGAAGTTGAAAACCTTCTTTGGATGTACTAGACCAAGGCCATGTACAGACAAGCTGTCCATGACAATGTCTGGTTGGTTTCCCAATACTCCGGGCGATTGCACCGGGTTTGCCAAAGTCGTGTCGTAATGTTCCATGCCAGTTGTTGCTGGCTTCACTCCACCCCAATAACCAGCTAGTGCATGCCATACATAAACATTTCTGTCCACCAAAAGAGTAACCAATTAAGAATTCAGATAATTAATTTATTGAGCTACTTATCAAACAATACTTCTCTAATACAGAAAATAGAATGCCCTGCATAAAATATTGACAAATTTTATGGAACTAGGACCATACTTGACATTGTGGTGTTTCTTCACTCCGTCAACAAGATGTTTAAGACCCGATGTTGGTTCGATGTGCTCTCCATTTTTATTCTTTTGAAACTTTGCATTCTCTTTAATACCAGTCAACATAGTAGCAAACCTCTAATAAGAAGAACAATTTCAAACATATCAATTGCCAGTACTTTACTCAGATTAGTTACAAATGAACAACTATTTAAAACTGTATAGTAATAAACAAGAAAAGAGAATAACAGAACACATGGTTCTTATTGTGCTCCTTCTTGCATAACACAACCAGGATCCTTTGCTTTACTTTAAATCTGTTGCCAACCATCATCTATGATGAGAAACCACGGAGGTGTACCTCCCTCTGATAGACTGCAGTTACAAAAAACGAATTTCATTCTTTAGTTCATCTTAAAATTCACCTTTACATTATTCATATGAAATGAAGCAAACATAATATACAATTCTCTCAAAAAAATTACCTTTTCAGGCCTTGTTCAACACCCTCAGAAAAGATGGTAGTCCATGGTGGAGAACCAAAATATCGCCATAACATCTGTTTTATGGCGCCGTCGTAGTGGATTATGACGGAAAAACCCAAAAACCACCACTGATATCCACCGTGGCAGATATCCGATAACACTGAAAGTGGTCAATGATTCAAAATTGAAGATATGCTTTATGAAGTCCCTAAATTACAATTCTTTAAATTTACCTTAAAGAAGAGGCTTATAGACAGTAATAGGAATTATAGAGGTATTTGTGCAAAAAATTGTGAAATATGATTTATACTAATTACATAAAATAGACAAATGTTAGAAAAAATAATGAAAAGTAAAATGACCAAGCAAGAAATTAGAATACACACCTGAGAGTGATCAACATTTCTATTAATGGAAGTGAAGGATACATCCTTCTTAGACACTCTTGGTTGCCTCTCCCCAAACAAGACAGGAATTAGATCAGAAGCAGGACCCTTATGCACACCTTTACTCAACTGTACTAATGCCTCTTTCATCCTGTGATATGTCACCTGGATGAATGATAAACACTTTCTGTATATAAGAACCCAGGAGCAAGTAATTGAGTAAAAAATGGATAAAAAAACCAAATAACGTGCTAACATGTATGTTTACAAAAACACACTAGAAAACAGTTAAGTAACTAACCAAAAGTGAGATTCAGAGCATCACAATAAGTTCCTATTTAGTGCAGTTCATATATTTCACAAAGACATACAGTTATAGTATATATCAAAACATGCTGAATATCATTTTAGTAGTTAAATTGTCTTATAATCAAACCACAGAACTATCCTAAACAAAAAGAAATAAGAAGTACCTAGGGAGTAGGAGCTTATCAACATACCTCATTTGCAACTTTTTCCAGCCTTAGGGGACTGTTTAAGCCATCTTCTGGTATATCATCAAAAGCAACAGTAATTGATGATGTCCACAGCCAATGGCATGGGAAATAATTTTTTTCTTTTCCCAAAGCTAACCAATCAGATACCTTTAATCTGTAAACTACACCTTGCCCAAGAGCAAGAGAACCTAAATCAGCCTTGTTGAGTTTTAAAACAACAACATCATGAGTACCTAACTGTACATAAAAAAATAACTCAATAATTCATGAAAGTAATACAATATTGATTTAATGCATTGAAAATGGCCTTAATCCTTATCAGTGCCAGAAAACGCTTTTGTTTTATGGCATAATAAAAAGGCAAAAGAAAAGATAAACTATGCATTGCATACAATAAAGTAGGCTTATAAAATACATTGCTAAACAAACCCTAGGGAAATTGGTCTACTCAACCAGTAACAGAAGACAGATAAAATAAAATCACCCCTTTACCTTGTGTGCAGGAAGAACATCTGCTTTTGTGGATTGGAGCTCAATAAGAGACTTTCCCATAAGCCCTATCTATTTTCAGAGTAAACAACAAAAAGAGAGGCGCAATATAAGAATACAACATGAATTAAAGCTCCACTTACTAACGAGAACACAAAAGAACATTTATTAACATAAAGTTGTGATGGCAACTGCACCCAGAATAAAATCGAAAATACATAATTAGTAAAGTCACGCCTTATTTCCCTAGAAAGAGGATGACAGTATCCTGAAGAGTCCATCTGGGTTATCAGTATGTACCTGTTATGGACAAAGTTATATCATATTTTGAATGTCATAAGAAAGATGTGCAAAACACAACGCATCCTCATTCCATCTTCAATATGCATCCACATGAAAAAAAATCCAAAGAAAGAATCTAACCACAAACCAAATCACTGCAAACATGAACATGAAAGTTTCCCTTATACATGCATACCCTCTTTTGTAAAATTAGGAGAGAGAATTTTCACGTGTGTGCATGTGTGGATGAGACAAAGCTAAGTTTAAGCTTTTAAGCTTGGTGGAGTCAATGTTGCCTGCGCCGGTGAATTCTGAGGAGGTCACCGGATAGACTCAAACTTTTGATAGCATATTAGGATTTTTAGATCCAATTTTTTTTGACAAAGATGATTTGAAATTAAATTCTGAATCAATTTTTTTTACTCATGTACCTATATAAGACCAACATACGCACACAGTAGGGAAGAAAAAGAAGAAAAGAATACACAGAGTGAGAAAAAACGAGCAGATACGAAAAAACTATCTACACATCACAAACACTCACATACCGATGAAAAGCATATAACAGTGAAGGCACAATCCCATGATTTGGAAAATTACAAGGCCACTCACAAAAAATCAGAAGATCCATATTACACACACATCAAAGAAGATCAAAAACACAACAAGAATATCAGAACATACACGCACGCAGTTGAGAAAAGAAAGAGAATTCACATGAAAAATATCACATACACTAACAGCATAGCAGTTATCAGAAGTTTACACGCACAGGGGGGAGACATATAGTTTGAAATACAGAGCAATACAAAGACAAAGTCAAATCAACTGCAGCACGTGCAATATCCATTAACAACAATTGAATGCGATCGAAAGTCACGACTCATAATAGCAATGGAAGCAGACCGAAATTAAAGATAGAAGGGTCGAATTCTTACCTTTTGTTTCGTATCACATCAGGTAATTCCTTTTCTTCAACTTCGAAACTTCTTCGTTTTTCACTGTAATCCACAATTGTTCGTTGAGAGCATAATGTGATAGATTGAGATGAAAGAGAGAGGAGCACAATGTTATTCTAGCCGTCGCCGGCCAACAGGCCATGGCTCGACGTTGAAATGTTATCCCGGTGAGTTTCCGAAACGCAAACACGAAGGAAAGACGAGCCGTGTACGAATCGTGACGACAGAGAGTGAGAGCATGGCGATTGAATTGAGAGGAAGTTGGAGCGTGAAAGGGAGAATGGATATTTAACCTTCAATTTATGCACGACAGTAGGAATGGGGAGGAATGGTTGGTTTCACAGGAGAGAGAGAGAGAAAGGAGAGGCTTGGAGGCTTTTGTAAAAAAACACCACCTTCTTTTTTTTACACCTTTTTATTGTTGGATTGTTTTTTTTAAGTTTTTTATTTTTTAATAATTGGTGGTTCATTGATCCACGATTTGCGAATAATTGATTGATAATCTGTGATTAATTATCTATTGACAATTGGTGATTTATTTTCAATTAAGAATTATGGGATTTGAATGTAGGATGAATCCTTCATCTAAATCTAGGATTAACTCTTAGATTAAATTTGTGATTAATTTCTTGAGTTAACGTTGATTATTTTTTCGTTGGTCTTCATTTAAAATTGATCAGGTTTTTTAATAAAATTAGTTGTTATCTTCTCGGTTGAATTTTGTAAATTTATCTATTTATTACTACCTTAATCTTGATGCATTTCCTAATGATAGCTTGTGATGTCTTTTAGCCTAGGATCGATTGCTTGTCTATAAGATTTCCATGTTCCCGTTCTTGATCCAATTTTGTCTTTGGAAAATTGGATCGGATGTAGACACTAGGATAAAATTGTTACCAAAATTAATTTTAATAAAAATTAACTATTTGTATAATAAAACAGAAAATAATTATTTATTAAATTAATTATAATAATTATAATAATAATTATTAAGCTACATTGTCATGAAAATTATAATAATTATAATAATTATTTATTAAATTAATTAATAAAATTAAAAAGGTTAGAAAATAAAAATGAAAGAAAAAAGTGGAAAATAAAAGGAATGAAAAAAAAATAGTGATTATGATTGGCTAAAGTAATTGCGACAGTTCGCCTTAACTGTCGCGAGTGTGGAAAGAGGACGGTTCTTTGGTAACTGTCGCATTATTTTATACAACATGTCTAAAAAATCTGCAACGGTTGGCTCAAACCGTCGTGAGAACTGTCGTAGTCCAGGAATAAGGACGGTTTTTTGATAACTGTCGTAAAAAATCTACGACAGTTGACCCTGGCTGTCGTGACAACCGTTGCAATCCAGGAATAAGGACGGTTTTGTGATAACTGTCGCAACTCAAGTGTCGTAAATCTCTTTTTTTTTCTTGTAGTGTAATAGGTAGAATCTGAGGAATTTTCTCGTTCGTACGCCAAAAGTACACTTCTCAGGGTTGAACCTTATTTTCCACTTCCTCGCTATCTCGAAGACTTGCTTGAGATGTGCGGTGTGGTCGACCTCTTCTCGTGACTTCACGATCATGTCGTCCATGTAGACTTCGAGCATATCCCCGATTTCCCTCCGGAAGACTTTGTTCATCATCCGCTGATAGGTCGCGCCAACATTCTTTAAACCGAAGGGCATTACGTTGTAGTAATAATTGTCCAACTCGGTCATGAAGGTCGTATGCTGTTTGTCGGACTTCACCATGGGGATTTGGTTGTACCCTGATTATACGTCCATAACCGACATCAATTTAAAAGCTGCAGAATTGTCAACGATTTTGTCGATGTTAGGTAGCAGATACGCATCTTTGGGACATGCCCGGTTGAGATCAGTATAGTCAACACATATCCTCCATTTTCCATTATGTTTTTTAACTAGTACAACGTTGGAAACTAGGTTGTATACTAGGCTTCCGATATAAAATTTGCCTCTAGGAGGTCTTTTACAGCTTTTTCAGCAGCCTCTGCTTTCTCGGGAGACTGCCTACG